TTAGGCCCTGCAAGGGGCTCTCAGCTCTCCCTGGAGCCTTCTCTTCTCCAGGGGAACCCCCCCAGCTCTCCCAGCCTGGCTCCAGAGGGGCTCCACCCTTGGAGCATCCCATGGCTCCTCTGGACTCTCTCCAGCAGCTCCACGTCCCCCCTGTGCTGTTCCCAGGGCTGGAGCAGCTCTGCAGGGGGGTCTCAGCTGAGGGGCAGAGGGGCAGGATCCCCCCCTCACTCTGCCCACACTGTGGGATCAGCCCAGGGCACAGTTTTGGGTGCCAGGGGCACCATCCCCTCTCTTTATCTGGGCTGTGCTTTTTGGGACCCCCAAGGCACTAAATCAGCCTTGACCACGTTCCCAATGTGGGTTTGCAGCGTGAGATCCCTTCATTCCTCCCTGACTCCCGTTGTTAGACACTGGAGCACCCCTGGGCTGTCCAGGATTTGACAGGAATGAGGCAGAACCAGCACAGAACAAGCAGTTATTTCCCTCTCCAAGCACTGACAGTGCAGGCAGACCCTCAATAACAGAAAATACCCTTATTTCTTACAAGAAGGAGGACGGCAGAGTGAAATGAAGGGCCCCTGTCAAAAAGCAATCCCATTTGTGGAGAATACAGGTATTTACCTCTCACAAAGCCATCACTAAAACCTGCTCCAGCCCAGCCAGGTGTCACTAACATCAGCCAGGCCCCAAATCTCTCCCCATCATCTCCTGGGCCTGATGTGCTGCCACCAATGCCTTTGTCTAGCAGAGAACAAATGCTGTTCCAGGCCATAGGTGGGTGTGTCTCAGGTGGGTCTCACACTGTGGGCACCTCGCCCTGCCTGGAGGGGACAGCTCAGGGGGGGAAATCATCCCCCTGTCTGCAGCAATTCCCAAAATTCCCACTGCACAGGAGTTGTGGCCTATCCAGTAGATTTATTCCCCCCTCCTGCCCAGCACATGTCCCAGCTGGAATTGTGCTGGCCATGGACATGCTGAGGGACAGGCAGCCTGTGGGGCCACCAGTGGCACGGGATCCATGGAATGGGGGGTTTGTGAGGAGCCTCTCCCCTGCCCTTTCCCATTTTGTGGAGAGCAGGATGTGCACAGCTCCATTCCCAACCATCCCTGGTGGATAACACCCACAAATGCTGTTCCAGGCCATCAGTGGGTGTGTCTCAGAGGGATGGCCCAGCGTGGGCACCTCTCCCTGCCTGCAGAGATGGCTCAGCAGGACAGCTCAGGGGGGAATCACCCCCCTGTCTGCAGCAATTCCCAACATTCCCACTGCTAAGGCTCTGTGCTAAGAGCCCCTTCCCAGGGGGTTCCCATCCCCCCATGGGACAGAGAGCCCAGGGAATTGTGCCTGGGAAGGTTGTCCAGGAGCAGAGAACCCAAACCATGTGTCATAGTTTGAGCCTCCCCTATTGCTTTACCATGGGAGAGAGAGTTAAGACTGTGTATATGATGTCCTATAATATTTATTTGTGTAATAATTGTAATAGAATTCCCTTCCCCCCATCTTGAGTCCTGTGTTGTGTCTGGAAAACCCCCCTCACAGTGGGGTGAGTTGTGGGAGGGGGGCTTGGACTGGGAAATTGGATTTCTGGGGGTCTCAAACTACGACATCCTGGGAGCTGCAATGGGAGTGATGGGGAGGCAGAGGGAGCTGCCCCTGGGCAGGCAGGGATTGTGCCAGCCCTGGGGGGGCACTGCTGCCACGGGAGCCACGGAAGGGGGGCTTTGGGATGAGCCTCTGCCCTGGCCTTGCCCGTTTTGTGGAGAGCAGGATGTGCCCAGCTCCATTCCCAACCCTCCCCCGGGGTGCAGGGGAGCCCAGGGAAGGAGGAGGAGCTGCCCCTCCCTCCCACTGCCCCCTGCTCTGGGACAGGGATGTTCATCCTCTGGGATCCCCCGGAGCCCACAGGGACACCCCTGGCACTCAGAACCCCCTCCCAGGAGCTGGAGGGTGAATGGCCAAGATGAGCTGGAGCAGAGAGGGGCAGCTGAGGGGAACAGCAGGCAAGGTCCTTTTGGGAATTCCAGTGGATTTGGAGGCTTGAAATCGTGTCTCCATTCCCACCTTAGTAACACCCCTCAGCCCCTCCCAAAGAAACAAACCCATCTATGGATCTCTCTATAAAATACAGATATTTTCTCCCTCTATAAATGGCTCTGCATGGGAAGGGAGAGAGAATAAGAAGGAAGAGAAGAAGGAAAACCCACTGATGAGGATCCAGCCCAATGTGCACATGAAGCACGTACCTGTCATGCCAACCCCTCTGCCAGCCTGGCACCACCATCAAGCAAAACCTGGCAGCATGAATGAGCCTCGGTGACCTCGGGATGACATTAATTTGTCGCAGCTTCATAAGGCACATTTCAATTATCGCGGATTTTTTCACGCCGACGTGGGGAAGAGCAGCCTGTCAGCACTGGCTGATTGGAAATGTGATGCAATTATCATCAAGCCCTAGTAAAGGATTTTAAATTAAAGACAACTTGGTCTGTAAATACTTTGTGTCTGCATTATTGTTCTCTCTTCCTAATGGCTTTTGGCACAGGCCTTGTCAGTGGTTTATTGTACAAGCCTTTGGCTGCGACAGCGTCTCCTATGAATAAATCATACACTTCACTAAGCACCAGACGATGGCAAAATGCAACAGCAGATGAAAAAAGCAATAAAGAACCATTACAGCTGCCTGTTCTCCTCTGCAGGTTTACATCACCAGCTGATTTAATTTGCTATTTGTAAAGGCACAGCTCACTGCAACGCCTTTGTGAAATGAAATCATAAATGTTCACGCGGGCGCGACTGAAAAGTGAGGCACCTGCTCGGTTAGGAGGTGTTTCCTCCCTCTGCAGGGCTCTTCAGCATCTTAGTGCTGCTCTTGGGGCACAAAAAGAGGATTTACAGGGGACAGAACAAGTCGCTGCCACAGCTGGAAGATGCTGGAGCTGCGTGTGTGGGATGCTTTTATCACAGAAATGAAAGGGAACCACCAAGGAACAGAAATATCAGGAGAAGGTTCTTCCCCCAGAGGGTGGTTGGCACTGCCCAGGCTCCCCAGGGCAGTGGGCACGGCCCCAAGGCTGCCAGAGCTCCAGGAGGGTTTGGACAACGCTCTGAGGGACAGGGGGATTGCTGGGGTGTCTGTGCAGGGCCAGGGGTTGGACTGGGTGAACCTTGTGGGTCCCTTCCTACACAGCATCTTCCATGATTCTATTAAAATGGGCTCCATGTGCCTTCCTGCTCTGGACAGAGCTCACCCAGCTCTGGAGCTGGAAAATACAAGTTGTTGCTCTGCCCCAAAGCTCAGGAGCACAGGAGACACAAGTGACCAAAGTCTCTTCTTCCCAGCCTCCACCAACGAGGCCACACGACCCCTCTGGGACACCAAAGGGTGAGAGGAGCAAGACTGAGGGTTTAATTCAGCCCCTCTTTGCTCATCCAGCTGAACACCCTCCTGGCATGGCAGGAACAGGCTGGGCAAGGAAGAGATGGAGTCCCCACCCCTGGAGGGGTTTCCAAGCCCTGTGGTGGCCTTGGCAGTGCTGGGGGATGGTTGGACTCCATGATCTCAGAGGGCTTTCCCAACCTGAATGATTCCATGATTTTCCAGGCCCTGTGACAGGTCACCTGAGCACAGGCAAAGCTTTGGGGTTCATAACTTAGTATTGGAAGCAAACCCACAGGCTGAGCCCAAGGGCAGGGTTTGGGGTTCCAGGGCAAGGTTTTGGGGGTGGGTTTGGTTCTCTCAACCCACAAACCCTTTGTTGTGCTTTCTCTCCCCTGCCCAGCTGAGGAGGGGGGTGATGGAGCAGCTGGGTGGGCCAGCCAAGGTCAACCACTCCAGAAACAGAGAAATTCCATCCAGAAAAAGGACAGCTGAAAAATCCATCCATCCATTTCCTGAGCTGTCCCAGTGGAGCTCTCCAGGTCTCCCCTCTA